GTTGACTCTCTCCAACGCACTTCCTGTGACTTACATGGAAAACAACCATTCATTCAATTAGCACGTTCCTAATCAATGTGAACACCATGGGAAACGTACGCTGGCACACTGACCGAACCTGAGTGGATTTCGAGCTATGTATTGCAATGCTTCCGATGATGAGATCTCTCCCCCTGCACCTCTTGACATCTTTCCCTTCAACCCTTTTAGAAGGTGGGGATCGTTATCAGCCATGATCTATCCACTGCTAGATGAAGGCCTCCCGAATTAATTGCCATCTCTCAAGCACGTGACATAATATTAATCTCCCCCCGCCGCCCCCCCCCCCCCCCCGAGCTTATCTCATTACTCCGTCTACTCCGTGGACACCTCTTGGGTTTGTTTATTGTTTTGGATGCAACTATGTCGTTAGTCTCGACCACTGGCCATCATCCGTTCGAGTGAGGTGCAGCCCTGTGCAAGCCGACTTACTTTCATGAACATTCAACATGATGCCTCTCACTTGCACTCCTCTGTGATCTCTGTGACATCCGTGCTTCTGTCTCAAGCTCTTTGCTAAATATGGAGCGTTCAAAATCTTGGATTTATTGATGAGTTCTGTCTTTCAGTGCAATTTTCAGCATGCACCTGCTATGACATATGGATCAGAAACATGGGAGATGGCATATAAAATGGGACAAAAAATTTAACGTTTGCCAAAAAGTGAAGAGGATATCATGCTTGCAATGTGGGAGTTTCAAGGTTTTTTTTATCCAAGAAAAGACACACCGAGTCTCGGATCACATTCCAAACACTCACAGATGGTATTGGCCAAATATCCAAATGCAGGACCCTCCTGAAAACGTCTTAAGGCTTAGTTAATTGTAAACGTTGTGGATTTGCTCTCCAACACACCGGTGTGCTGTGCTAGTAACGAATCGGCATGTTCTGCTTACGTGACAAACCTTACTAATTGGCTGTGTCGGGTGGTGACAGGTTTTAACGACGCATTTATATTTACGCGATCTAACCCAAAACACCTGTATTATGGATGATATTGGTCGCGAAAGCCTACGTGTTAAACTGGCCCAGTTAGTCTTACGTGGGTAAATAACTGGTGACATTATACACGGAGACAGTTGTGGATTAAGCGGCCGCTGTACCTTAGTGCTCCGCCCCATGGTACGGCGAGCAGGTGCTTGAGAACTTGACGGGCGCTTTGTGGAAGGGACGTCACATAAAATCAGAAGCATCTACACAACTGCGCTGCCCGCAGGGAATTGCATGCACTCGCGACGCACGCGCAACGTGAAACACGGCCCGTAACCCCACGGGTCTGTCTCATGCCAGGGATTAATTATTTTGAGGATTCCTCATCGTTCTCAAAATGCCCCTTTTGTTCTGCAGTGGTCGTTGGGAGAATTAGTCTTCCTATCACATGGAGGGGCTAGGAGACTAGTAACAGAATTCAAATAAGCCTTTTTAGTGGCTCATACCTGACTTATATCATGGGCTGCCTCCTAATTATACAATCCAGCTCAGTGGCACTGTGGTGAGAATGCTCATCTCACAATCAAGGTTGTGAGTTCAAATCATAGTTGGAGTTTGCTCAGCCCATCCTCCCTCTGGGCTAGATAAAATAACTCCTGTACTACTTTGGGGGAATGCAATATCGTTTGTTTCTTTGGAAAAAATGGTACCATCCATAGAAATGTGGAATGTTCTCCACTGTCTTAAGACGTCTGACAGAACTGAGCACTGCTCTCATGCAGTTTTGAACAGGGGACACTTTGACTGTATGCAATGATAAAGCTACATTCTTGGTGTAGTAATGTGGATGATATCAGCCAGATCACCATCAGCAGCCTTGTTTTAGCAACTGCTGGATGAAGGCCTCCCCATGTCATTGACTCATGCAATGGTCCAGCGATGCCACAATCCATATAGTTCCCACACATGAATGAATCTGATCCAAAAAAAAAAACATGTACAAGCATATTTTACCACAATCGTGTGCGGTTAATGCAGACTTGTTGCCTTGTGATAGGTGTCTATTTGGCGTTTGAACATCTTAGCACCTACCGGAAAGGCTAAAGCCTATTCATTTTATCATCATCAACTTTATACTGACAAAGAGGGTCCCCCATAGATATCAACTAATCTTATCACTCTATCTCCAAGGTGCTCATCGTCTGCAGAATGATCACTCCCCTGACTGCCGTTCTGCCACCAGTCTCATCCATCAACCTTTAAAAACCTTCCCGTGATGTGTGCTGTCTTTCCAGTTACTGTGATGTCTTTGTTTTTTGCGTTTGTTCTCTGATCCATATGTTCCCCTGTCTGTCTCTCAACAATCTTCCCAAAATGCATCTGACCATACTCATCATCTTTTGTTACATTTTACTTGTAATTGTCTCATATCTTCCATTCACACGTCAACGGACGATAACATGCCCTGATTGGAAACATTCCATTAGTACGTTATCACTATGCTGATTTTATTGTTAAATCTCCAAATAATGAACAAATCTACTGTTGCTTACTTCTTTATTTGTATTATTTTGATCCCAGTCCACTTTCAATAATTTCAATATATACAAACAGCACTGTTGTAATTCCCTGTTGTCTTCCGCCGACAATTATTGTCTTTTGTTCAGAGAAAAAAAACCGTGTACGCGACTTTCATTCACGTCATTAACAATTATGGCAACAACCAACACGGACTTTTCTTTTTTGCAGCTTATCATCGGTTTTGTTCAATGGATTTCAATTACAAGCGTACAAGTCTATCTATCTGGCCACTCCTTGTTGTGCGTGCAAGCTCGCCTGTGGTGCAGCAGGAACGATGTCACTCCTTCTGGCTGCATTTGCACAAGTTTTCGACATGCATGTATGTCGAACTACGTGGCCAAACCTTGATAATCGGAGGTGCGGAACTGCACGTGCGCGGGACTCGGAGGTTCTTATCACTGGCCACGAGGCCACGCGTCAACCTCTGGCTTCTACTGTGGCCACGATTGTGCGGTGTTTCTGCACAACGAACGTTTCCAATGCCCCCGGGAAGGATGCTTGAAAGTGCAGATGGGCCAGAACCTTACAACTCCACCCCAGTGTTCTCGTGAGCGTGTGCGAATGGGGACACACAGCGAACGCTACGTTTTTCGAGCACTGTGGGGGTTTTTTTGTCCTCTCATCTTCCTGAGGAGAATTGTAACTGTTGTCGTTGAGTGGCACAAAATATATTTGGAAAACCGTATGTGGATTTTCAATTACGATGCAAGGCTTGGCTCCAAGTGGCACACATGAGTGCACACGACAAAACAAGTATTTGTTAATCACATTTGTGTCTAATCAAAACCGTCTTGGTTGGAGATCATCGAGAATTCTAATTGCTCTCAAACACTGATTTTGTGCCTGCTGTGATAATAACGCAAGTGGGAGAGCTAGAGAAGTAGCGTGTTTATAAATATGTATCTGACCGTTGTCTCTGCAGACTCAATTGGAGAAGTTAACTGGCTTTTATAAAATCGTCAGCAAGATTTACTTCTGGGCCTGGCAAATATAGGAGGCATCTTGGTTCGCTTTTATGTATCTTGATCTTCAGAAACTTATGGAAGTTTCTGAAGATCGAGTTGAGTTGGGTTAGAGTTAGCCACAGTTACATGATAATTAAAAGGTTTATTGTATTATCACAAGAAACATTGATTGAATGCTGTTGTGCTATCCATGACAACAGCTTTACAAGCTGTGTGCAGTTGTGTGCAGGGCAGATAGACACTAAACACATCCTCTGTTAAGAGCGTCAATAAAAAATGCACAAAGCAAAGCCCATCACCCGACGATCACTCGCACCAGTGTTCAGGCCACCAGATTTGGTGACGCACACTTGTAATCCAGAATTATGAAGGTTGGTTTGGTGGACTGCGTAGAGACTTCATTGTGTGAGCCACCAGCAGGGATACAATGTGGTCATATGTGGCAGTACAGCAAGTAGGGTGTGACCTGTTCATTTTTTGTTGGTGGTATCACTTCTATGAGTAGTTGTATGATGGACACACCTGTTTACTCTCACATGCAAAACACCCATTGATGAATTGGTCAAACACATAAAGTAGGTCATTCTTGAAAATGAGATGGACTATCTTGGTCTCTTGAAATATGACCTGGTTAAACTTTCTGAAAATGAGTCTTGGGACTCAGTGAAACTCTTTCTTGCTATGTGAAGGTTAACGGTATTACTATTATCACAACTATCATATTGTTTATATATATAGTTAGGAGAGCATTAGAAACTCTTTGAAACCACTTCCAAAGCCACAAGTGTAATTGTGTGATAATTAAACCCTTTCAATAACACACTTCCCTATAACCTATTTAACCATACCAGCTTTCTCTGAACCAGTAGCCTTGCATTGGCCTCGCTCCCAACACCTACTCATAAAGCGACACACTCAAAAGTCACAGAGCAAACGATAGAGGAACGAGTAACCCTGAGTGTACTCACACTTGCCACAGGAAAAATAGGTGGGTTCCACACATGGCAGATGCATTCAATACCATGGTAAATAATACTACAAATTTGCAGCTCTTTTGTCAATCTACTGCTGGATGAAAGTTTCCCCACACCAAGTCTGTAATGGGAAGGTTTTTTTTTTTATAAATAGTATCTGTTGTTGAACTGAGAGGCCTAGGACTGGTTTGGATGTCACTTGTCACTCATGTTAGCCATAACCAGGTATTTAGCTCAGCGTGCCTAGTTCAGAGTGTAGTGAACTAACCCCTTTCACCAATGTCAAGATGTTTCCTTGCAAATCCACTTTCCTTGAGCGTTGGCAAATGACACACGAGCAGATGTGTATATGCAATTAATGCCAATGTTTACTTTTAGGTGGCAAGAAAACGAGCACATACACTTTAACTTTGTTTTGTGAAAGCTATCAAAAATGATTGTTTTTCGCCTCATACTTTTTTTAAACAACTAATGTGTATGTCTGTGTGTTTGTGTGTTTGTGTGCTTGCAGATGGCTTGAGAGAGGAGAGAGTCACCATGGGGCCTGAAGCCATACTTAAGCTCAATAGAGAACTCACTAATAGTAAGTCCTTCAAAGTGGTTCTTTGGTCTTCTCCAAACATGAACATGTAGCATCCTCTTTCATTCTGATTTTAAGCTGGGAAAAAAAAGTTTCTGTTTTACTCTGGAAAGCCCAGATTGTACATGATGTAAATATTGCATAGTTGCCAACACTTTGGGCTTTTTTTCACATTGATTTAAAAACGAATTATTTACTTCACTGGCAAGTATCCGTATGAATCATAGCAAACACTTAAAAGTTATTATCGTCAAAGTCATGGCATCTCCCTCAATTAAACAAGTTTCAGGGTGGCTTTTAACCAGGGGTGGAAATTCCACATTACCGAGGCAGGGACATGCTCCTTCTTAGGACCACCACGATTAACTTCCCACAAAAGTGGTACTCACTTGATGAACCAAGTTTGACCTGGGATGTGAACTCACGATGTTGCGAATGTTTCTGGCCGTGAGAGGGCACGCTTTGCCGACAGCCCCCACCCAGCGAGATACCACTTACTTAGTTTGCAAAATGTAACGGGCGGGTTACCGTACTCTGAAGGCGGTCGTCACTCGAGTTATAGTGCACGTTGCCCTACGATTTAAACGGGCAGGCGCAGCTCCGTTTGGGAGCGGGAAGCGCCGAACGTTGCGCGTCGCAATCGTGTAACGAGCACGCGGTAAAAATAACCCCGCCCCAGAGCACACGTGCGCGCATAGCCGTGAGGGTCCTCTCTTGCGGCAGAGCACCTGCTATCGGAGCGACCGAGCAGAGTTCCTTCCAGAAAATGTGTCTATTAAAAGCCACTGCGAAGCTGCGTTACAACGCCCGTGGCGCCCCAAAGGGGCCGAGGCCAGGTGGTTGAATTTAGCGTTGGAAGGACACGTGGCAGGCAGGGTAGGGTTGAGGTTTCAGTCGCCGATCCCCTTTTTACTCCCCTCCCCTTAAGAAAAAGAAACAGGTGGTAGGCTTTGAGCCTTCATGATGTTGATTGTCTGTGGCGCGGCCGCGTATCGGTGGCTGCCGTTGCTGCTGCTGCGAAGAAAAAAATAATAATGCCCCAACAGACCGAGCCAGGCGCTAAATTCAACACGGCCCGAACCAAAGGCACACCGAGATCTGTTGACATGTTGGTATCAAGAGTGAGAAGGGCTATGCAAAAATGAAGTCTTTATTACTTAATAAGGATACATCACTTGAGAGGGTTACGTCTCGCGATGCTTCGTGCTGATCTCACATTGTTTGCATGCTATGGCGAGCCGTGATAGCAACGCATGTCGACCGACAGTTTCAGTTTTTTCAGTTTTCGTTTCAGTTTCATTTATTTGGTATAGTACTGTGAGCCATTCGGCTCTTGAATCGGGTGCAACCGCAACAAACAAAAAACAAAAACATGAACATGACTATGCGCAAACAGAAAAATGCAGGAAAAAACTGCAAAGTCTTCCAGAAAAAAAGCACCGTACACCAACGCTGTGTGCAAAAATCCTAGTGGGATGCAAGTCAAACAACAACAACAACAACCACAAGACAACTTAGGCTAGGCAGCGCAACCTCACAACACCAAGTGCGCGTCCGTCCATCTCACGCCCGCTGTTTGCTTGTCACAGTCACAAGCGTCAACCATCCGTCGGAATTCAACAACTACTTTGCGAGGCAGAAGAAGTGCGCGGAGGGAGACGGGCAGGCGAGCAGCATCGCCGAGTTCCTGCGACGCAGCGACACGGCCGTGATTTACCCGGAGGCTCCGGAGGACCCTGCGCTGCACCAGGGCACACCCGAGCACGAGGGAGCGGCAGAAAACGGTACTCAAAGAGCCAGAGCACGCACGCGCACGCACACGCACGCACACGCACACACATGCACACGCACGCACGCGCATGCACACGCACACGCACGCACACGCACGCACGCACACGCACGCACGCGCACGCGCACGCACGCGCACGCACGCACGCACGCACACGCGCGCGCACGCACACGCGCGCTCTCCACCAGCAACCACAGTGGCAGTAGCCAATACGGCCACGTGTTGGGTAGACTCAACCCGGCCCGTTCAGTGGCTCCGGAAGGAAGTGAGCGACATTGAGCGCGGTGCAGGTCGCAAAAGTCGCTGTCCCAGCAACTGTTGCCACCTACAGCATGGTGGGAGGTTGCCTTCGCGGTGGTGTGAGGTCGACGGTCAGCTATGCAGAGGGGGGTGGCATGCAGACCACATGACTCCTTAATCTGTCTGCAGGCTGTGGCCATTCGATTGTGTAAATACATGTTGATTGTTCACTTCGTGACGTGGGTTTTGTTTTTCATGGCTTGATCGATGGCACATTTCTGAGAAGCCTATAAAAGGCGGGCAGCTTTTTCAGGGGTCAACATATGGGGGGGGGGGTGGTGGTAGTGGTGGAGGGGTCACCTGTCTGGGTTCACCTATGAACCACCTTCTGCCATTGCTACCCAGACTTCAACCATCGGTGACAGCGTATATCTGCTGAAACGAGCATCGGGAGGCAACTGATCTCTGAGAGAGCCAGCGTAATGTAAATTCCCCATTGCAATAGCGGGGGGGCGGGGGGGGCATTCTCTCCACACCGCAAGCAGCCGCCAAACACGGGGGGACGCGAACTCACGCGAGTTGCCCCATCGCCCCCCCCCCCCCCCCCCCCACAGATGCGCACGTGGCCAGCGCGCCGGACGCCTTCTCGCAGCTGCTCGCCTGCCCGTACTGTGACCGCGGCTACAAGCGCCTCACGTCGCTCAAGGAGCACATCCGCTACCGGCACGAGGGGCGCGCGGAGGGCGACGCGCCCCTCGTGTGCCCGCTTTGCCCGGGCTCGGCGTTCGCCACGCGCGCTCAACTCGACCGGCACACGAGCACGCACGCGCGTCAGCAGGTGAGGCTGTGATTTTTGCTCTCACCGGGTGAGGCTGTGATCTCCGCTCTCAATGGGTGAGGCTGTGATCTATGATCTCACCTGGTGAGGCTGTGATCTCCGCTCTCAATGGGTGAGGCTGTGATCTCTGATCTCACCTGGTGAGGCTGTGATCTCCGCTCTCAATGGGTGAGGCTGTGATCTCCGCTCTCAATAGGTGACGCTGTGATCTCTGATCTCACCGGATGAGGCCGTGATCCCCGCTCTCACCGTGTGAGGCCGTGATAATCACTCTCACCAGGTGAGGCTTTTGGACTGTTCATCAGGTGTCCCTATAATCCCACTGGCCAGGTGAGGCTGAAATTGTTCTGACCAGGTCAGGGTGTATTTCACCATCACCAGGTAAGGCAGTGATCCCGCTCACCAGGTGAGAACGTTATCACTTTTCAGGTGAGTCGTGATCACTGACCAGGTGTGATGGCAATCACTCACCATGCAAGGCTATAATTACTTACCGAGTGAGGCTACAGTTGCTCACTGGGTGAGGCTGTGATTGCTCACCAGGTATGACTGAAATCACTGACCAGGTGAGACTGCAACCCAAGAGGTGAGATGGTAATCACTCTCCAGGTGAGACAGTAATCATTCAGCAGGCGAGGGCCAAATCACTCACCGGATAAGAAGGTAATCATTCGTGCAAGCGAGGCTGTAATAATTGACCAGGTGAGATGGAGATCAAGCATCCAATGAGCTGTGTGAGGCTATGCCCAGATCATCGGATGCGAGGTAGGTGTGGTTGTGATTGGCTGGCCACGTCCTCTGTGAGAGAGCGTTGTGTGCCTCCTGCATGCACGCTTGTGTGCTCCTGCATGTGCCACGGGCCTCCTGCGCGAATGTCCACGCAGGCTCTCATCGCCTGCTTTGTGGTAAGACCACAAGCTCACTGTGGACAGCGACAGCGGCAGAATGCCGTGCGACGCACGTCAAATGCAATGCGTAGGATTTTTTTTCCCCCCCATGGTTTTTGCAAACATGGTTTGTAAACAGTATGCACCAGTAATACAATATAGGTCATTTTGAGCAAGAGACGCTAAGAGCATTTCACGGCAACTTAAAATTGGTAATTCCAGTGCAGTTGTTTACGTGTTGCCATTATCCGAGTGCTCCCCGTCCAGGCAGTGGAGGCGCTTTTTGTCGATGACAGGTGGCCCATGGATATGGGGGGCATTTGGCAGTGCGATATTGAGCTGTGGGTGGGATGGGGAGGGGGTAAGGGTTTGGTGGGAAGTTGCGTCACTGAATCAGATTATGTTGGGAACAAACGCGATCTTTGTTCATGGCCTCTTCCCCCAGAGAGACCAGCTGTCACCCCACTGGGAAGTCCCAGCAGCTGCACTCATACCAACTGTGTGTTCATGCTGTCCTGCACATACATGTCAGCACGCCTGTGCCCGTGTTTGCGGAATTGAAACGCCGCATTTCGCGATGAACGTTACGCGTTTAATAATCCCATGACCTGCAGTGGTGTGCTTAGGATTTCTTTCGAGCCATTCTAGCTAGCAGCAGCTGGAACGATGTTCCACTTAACATAACAAGCGCTATGTTTTTTGCGTGGCCTTAATCGCTGAGATGATATCACTATTGTCAAGCAAGCTGTCGCTTTGTAGCTGTGACGTACGATCCAACGCTGCTAAGGCACGATTCGCGGGTTGCGCAAATTTCATGATGTGCATGAGAATAATCTTCTGTACTACAAGGGGACCAGCCTTTGGTCGCACAGCAAATAGGTTGCTAACCTATCTGTGCAGATTTTCCAGTGTTATTTATTCATGCGCACGGGTTTTATGTGGACAATCCAGTTTCCTCTCAAATGCAACAGACAACGCCTGGAACTGACCAAACATCTCTATCAGGCTCGTGAGTTGTAAAGAGTTCGAGGGACGCGGTTGAAGCTTTGATAGGTAAATAATGAGCTGTTATTATTGAATACAAAATTTATGAAAAACCTAATTGGCAGTGGATGGAATGATGATGTTTTGTGAACGATTAATTAAACTGAAGGAGACATTTTTTTAAAATAGTCCATCGACATTCATAGGCAATTTCAAAATGGTGCAGTTTACTTGTTAAAATCTACGACATCACGTAACATGTACTGGAGCAATGAAGAAAACCCAACTCATGAAACTTTACAATTCCAAAACGCTGCAATGAGATCAACATTTGAAACGGCACATTATATATCAGCGCATTGGAGCACACATGCATATACCTGCTATGGCGGTGCTGTGTGACGCAATTGTGTTTACATTCGGGTGATCTTGAGTGCAAATCCAGCACAAAATCCTTTGCTTCTCGCTGTGAGAATGTGGAATATTCACACCGGGCTTAGGGCGAGCAACAGGGATGAATGCCACCTTATGTCCGGCACCTCCCGATTCGCACGGTTGGCTACGTACGGTGCGAAAGAAGTTCAACATCCATTCATTGGCAGGGAGAGCTTGAGTTTACATGAAAAAACACCAGTGCCAACTCATGCGGGACTTACTGTAAAAGTCTTTACGTAGGGAATAAACGTACTCGTGAGACATTTCTTACAGTTAAAATAGCTTTGCAGGCAGCCCAAAGACGAGAATTTAATCATTATTTTTATTTTAAACAACGTCTACAGCATTTTCCTACGTGACTTCAGTGCGAGCACTCATTCCCGTTCGGAATTGTGACAACAAATGGGTCGAACTGAACGTATACAAAAATAGCCGAATGAGTCAGCTTGGGGTTTCCACAAAGGCCACATCAGGTGCTGCCAGAGGAGGGGGCGGGCAGGGGGGAGTGTGAATTACATCTGAGCTGTCAATCATGCCACACCTGCCATGCTCACTCCACAAACCTGGACACACCCGCCCCCTGTCAATCGGCCTCGTTCAGATCGTCTCCTTGTCTTGGATGGCGCCGGCTGTTATGCCCCATCTGGAGGGGGCCTGCTGGCATAATCCAATTAAGATTAAGATCAACTTATAGAAAGAAAAACTCGTGATATGACAAATAAAACTACCAAAGTTCCCCAAAGCTCCAAAGAGCAAAGGATGGTACTATTCACTATCAGTGATCCTGTCTCAGTTGTAGAATTCCCTATTGTTATGGCCAGGAACTAATATATCTATTAAGCACTGTTGACATATCACCAAGTGGTGTGCTTCAGCAGGTGGAGTTAATGTAATGATGATGATGATGAGTTGATTGACTTTGGCCAGAATTTGAACTCATGGGTTCACACTTGGAAGCTCCACTGCTTCACCTACTGAGCTGCCTCCAAATAAATCACAATGACTAAGCAAATAATATCCGTTGGCACAATGTGAGAACGTTGTGAAGTGGTGTTGCAATGGTTAGTGCACTGAGTTTGCATCCCCCGCCATGGGCAACACAAGTTTTCAGTGACACATGAACTATCCCCCGACACCCATAGCCATTCGACCTCCACTGGCTAGAATGAAGTGCGGTCCGACAACTCCCATGGCCGACGCAGCATGGCAATGCCTTCATCCATCGGTGGATGGACAAAGGATTGTAGATGTGAATGTATTATTACTCTGAGTGAAGACCCTGGAGGTTGGGTGTCGACAGTGCAACAGCTGTAAGATGTAGCAGAGGCAAGAGAGAGAGAGAGAGATGGTGAGTTCATCACAACATCATTGGCCACAATGACCCCTTAATCTTGACCTTGAACATTCTGCCAATCCCCATTCCACCCGATTCTCGCATTTAATTATCCACCTGTTGTTCGCCATATTCACAACAAACAACCCACGTTGTTTTTGACCTCATGGTTGTTGGTTGACCTCTACGTACTCGACTGGATCACGGTCTTGGGCCCAAGAAGCATGGAAATGCCCTCGCCGTACTTTTTGAAGTCAATTGTCAAATAAGAAACTAAAAGAGGCATTTGTGCCCCATGGTCCACCGCACGATGTCAGGGCAGTGAGGGAGCACGATTGAGATCCAGCATTTAAGCCTTTGGGTGAATTAGAGGACATTTAATAGTTGTCCTCTAATTATATGCTGATGACCAAACTAAATAAGTTGCCTTTACCAAATTCAGCAACTTTCCCCACTGAGAGGCCACAGACACCAGCATGTACATTGAAAGTATTTCTCACCGTATCGCCAACCGCGCTAATCAGAGGTGAGGGGGAAGGACAACAAACCAAACACTGTAATTGAAGCACACCGAACATTGCTCAGAAGAGTAGTGTACACCTTAGAAATGTAAGTTAAAGAGAACTGGCTGAGTGGCTGAGGAGACTGAGGTTAATGTTATGCGTGCCCTAGAGCATCGAGCGGGCGCTGTTGAGATCCTGGATTTGAATCACGTATTTATCCTAATTTTAAAACAACGTCCTCACTTGGGAGTGAATTGAATGGCCCTGGTCCCGTCACCAAAGGGTGTACGTAAAAAGTTAAGCCATAGCCAAGAGAGTCTTGCTACCCTAATGAACAATCGGGGTGGTGCTCATCTCCATGGAGGGTCCCTGAGACGTTGGTGGATATTTGCTATTCCAATGGCAGGTCTCCATAAGCTAACTACAGTTGAATTCCCACTAAGTGGTGCTTGTGTTTTAGCCCCCGCCCCCATCTCACTCCCCCCGGAGGGGTTAATGGGCTTCTTTATTGATGCTAGATTTGAAGCTTTCGTGACTGCAAGGATTCATATTCTTAGGTTTTTTCGGTAAAGTTACATAGGTAAAAAATTTAATTATTTAAAAGTAAAATAAAAATAAAATAAAAATCACGACGTTTCGGAGGCAACACAAGCTTCCGTCTTCAGGTGGGACCGTCACAGCACGATAGCTGTAGTGACTTTACCGAAACAACCTAAGAATATCTTTATTGATGACCCACAACCCTGGCTGTACCGTACAAGTCTGTAGTAGCACGGTGCACCTCACGGAGAGAGAGCTGTCGTGGGCAGGTGGCACCATATTTGGTAAGGCCCATTACCAAAAGTGGTCAGGAACCTCGAGGCAGCGTTCCACCTCGAGGGTGACCCTTGACCATACATGTAGCTCCGAAGAAGGGTTTACCGGCCCCGTCACCCCCTGCCAATTGCACCCCCTCCAGCCAAAGAAATCTTCCTTCAGCTGTTCCCTTTTGCACCTGCCCAGCCTCCTCCTGCCAGGGAGCACAAATAATACACTGTGCTTTAACCAAACTTGGACACTCTGTTTTCTTTTCCTTTACACGTAAAAAAATATATGTTTATATCGTTCAGGAAATGTGTTAATATACTTAAGTAGAACCTTCCTGAGAAATAATCGTGAGATTCAAGGAAGGCTTTCCGGGATAAGTGAGGGACTTGGTTTGGTAGTTACGTTACAAGCGTAATATGGAACATTTTCATACAGATAACTGTTTTCCCCATCCCCGTGTAACTGGAGTTGTTTATTTGCAGTGCTTTCACTGGTTATTATTGGTTTATTACATTCAAATGTCATGAAATAAGGTTGTTAATTTTTGCACACATATAAAGTATATATCGTATATATTTGTTTTAATCCATTCCCTGTGAATTGTTTGTTGTTAGTGCATGTGTTTATAATTATGTTCATACTTTTCCCTCTCAAATCGTGTTGTCATTGTCTACAGATTTGACTTTTGCTCAGTCACTTAATTGATTTCACTCCGCAGGACGTGAGCGCTCAGAATGCAGGACACCGCAAGTTTAAGTGTGGCGAGTGTGGCAAGGCCTTCAAGTACAAGCACCACCTGAAGGAGCACCTCAGGATCCATAGCGGTAATACCTAAATGCAAAAGGCATTCTATTTCCACAATAGCATTTTCGTCAAATATTTAATTCCATCGTTAAAAGGTTGCGGTTATTTATTTGACACCGAGAATAATCTATTCAAGAAGCCATTCACTTTTTATCCCATTCACTAAACACAATGCTCAACTTAAACTAAATGTATTCAAAACAGATATTTCATCTACATGGTATAAGCATGTTCTTAATGTAAATGTATAATATGAACACGCTTCTAAATATAACCAAGGTTATTTAGGTTATCCCCTACACAATACATAATTAATCTCGGGGGGATTTGACTGGGTAAAAAAAAGTTTGGCAGAGGATAATCCTTGATAATCGCAGCTGTAAATACAAGTAGTTTTGCATTTTTTCTGATGGAATTAAGTGTAATACATATTCAACCACTAAAGTCTATATACAAACTCTATAAGCATACACATAACATAGCAAAAGTCCTTTCCCAGAGTGGGAAATGTAATCTATAATAGACACTGTAGTTAAGATTAAATATAGAGTTGATTTTCACACTTAGTGGTGCAAAATACAATGTTGTATTCTTGAAAGTTGGTTAACTAAATGCATTCTCTGGGATCACATTTCAACGTAGGCATATTTCAATAGGTGCTGAATCTTGCATGGATATGCACACATCTTTGCAAATTAAATGTGGAGACAATAAGCTAATGCCGGACGGCATGACATTGTTGAATGCTCGCTGTGTTGTGCTTGTGCTGTACTGCGTCTGGCAGGTGAGAAGCCATACGAGTGTCCAAACTGCAAGAAGCGCTTCTCCCACTCTGGCTCCTACAGCTCCCACATCAGCAGTAAGAAGTGTATTGGGCAGCCATCGCCTGGCGGGGCAGGAGCTGGTGGAGGCAGGTCCCGGGCAGGTCCCAGGGCCGGTACTTCTCCTTCCACCCGCTCTCCCACCTCTCCCGACAGCCAGGCCCTCAGCCAGCTCAGGCAGAAGTTGCAGGCGAGCGGCAGGCTTTCTCCTGAGCGCCCAGGTCTGGCTCTGCCATCTCTCCCAGAGGCTGTCTGCGTGAAGAGCGAGCCGCTCACGGCCTGCGATTTCTTCTCCAAATTTCGGACGACAATCTCCGCATCGCCGGTCGGTATGAATGGCAATGGTGGTGGAGCACTGCATCTGAGCTCCCCAGGCCACAGCAACTTCCAGCACCTATTCCACAGAGACGGAATGGCCGGGGTGCTGAGTGGCCGGGAGGAAGCCATTCTGCAGAACCTGGTTCATTACCGCTCCGGCAGCGAAGGCATGGCAGAGACCCCACAGGCAGTGCTCTGTGAGCCAGCTGAAGGAACCAGCCTCAGTGAGGTGAAGAAGGTCCTGCAGATTGTCGATAATACAGTTACACGACTCAAGGTTTGCAGTCCCGTTCGGGAAGAGGCGAGCCGCCCTCCGCCCCAGCCATTTGGAGTGAAAATGGAGCCGGACATCGAGGAGCCCCAGATGACAATGAACACGCCAAAATGCCCTCCGATCTCGCTGCCAGGCCTGACCATCCCCCCGTTCCTCGCTCGTAATGGCACAGCCATGAGCATAATCGACTACACGCTGGAGAAAGTAAATGAGGCCAAGGCTTGTCTACAGGGACTTGGCAGGGACCCGAGCGGGCGGGAGCAGATGGCCTACACGGCGCAAACTCTGAGCCAGCACCTCCGCGAGTATGGCGGCACAATGGATCCCAAGATGTTCGCGATGAATGGCCAAAAGTTTATGCATCAGCAGGACTTTAGCCCGGAGAGTTTTCACTCAGCTGCCACCCCCACTACCACCGGCATGTACCGATGTCAGTTCTGTGGGCAGGGCTTCCCTGGCCCCATCCCCTTGCACCAGCATGAGCGCTATATGTGCAAGATGAACGAGGAAATCAAGGCTGTGCTGGTGCGCCCAGAGCCCAGGGTTTGTAACGAGGCAGCCAGCACTTATCCAGGCATCCCCACGAGCAGTGCTGACCCAGCCATGACCACGCAGGACAAGGTCTCTCTACATTCCCTGATGCCCGAGGGGGCGGCCGAACGGATGGCGTTTCTAAGGGAGGCTTACCGCACACGGAACGTCGGCGAGCCCATAACTGCTGAGATGCTGACGAAATTCTCTATGCTTGTTCCTTCTCCCGTCAACTTCATGAGCCGCTGCCATGACAAGCCAAGCTTTTACCACATTCCTGATCCAGCACCGATCTCTCAGGCTATGGGGGACTTGGCATCATCCAGCAATGGCGATTGTCACCTCGTGCAGAAAGCCTCTCCCAGGGGCCCACCCCCGGCAGCTACAAATGAGTCAAAAATGAGGAGCCCCCCCAGGCAGGCAATCAAGCCCGCACGCTTTAACCTCCCGTCCAGGGCGAACCACGAGCTTTGTCCTGGAAGCGGGCGCTCGCCGTTCCCCCTGAACTTGTCTGCAGCAAGTTTCACGCGTGACTCTAACGGGGATGCTCACACTCCAAACGGCCACTCGCACACTCCGGACGGGAATCTGCGCTCCACCTCGAATGGGTCATCATTTTCCTCTGAGGACAACGTGGTCAAGTCCCAAGCGGAGCCTCTCGATCTCTCCCTGCCCAAGCTGCAGATGGCACGAAAGCAGGCCAAGAAGCGGAGACGAGAGGATCGTGAGAACTTCACGAGCTTAGATCTCAACAGCGATTCCTCGTCGCCATACACCAACCAGGACGAGCCGCTGAACCTCGCGTTCCTCAAGAAAGAACTGGGAAACGAGAGCGAAGGCTACAACGAAGAAGAGGCCATGGACGGCCACCGCTCAGACGCGATGGCCGACGTTCTGAAGCCCCTGTTCGGCATGCCGATGATGTACGGCGCGAAGCCCCCACTCCACCGTCCTCTCTTCTCAGCCTTCCCTCCGGTGGGCGCGTTCCAGCCGCACGCGGGCCTGGTGCCGCCGCCGCCCCTTCATTCAGGCCGCGGAGCCGAGCTGGCGCAGTACCCCACGGGGCTGGAGCAGCTGGCGTTTTTCCCGCAGCTGGCCTACACCGCCTTCCCGCCCCTCGGTGCTGCCAGCCTTGCGGAGCTGCAGCTTCGTCGGAAGTACCAGCGCAAGGCCAACTCGCAGGTGAGTGGGGTGGGGGGGCGGCAGGGCAGAGGGGGGGGATCCCTGAACCCAGCTCTGCCCCCATTGTTGATGGCATGGTGCAGAAAGTTGTGGTGAAACACAAGGGATGGGGAGTTCCTGGGTGCCCGTTGTCAATTCATTTTCGTATTGTATTACGTCCTTTCAGTGTCAAGTCAAATATCGAATTGTGTCCCTGCTAAGATGAGCCTGAAGTGTGGTGCTCATCTCTTTTGGTAGTCTTTAGTCAATGGCAGAAATGCCACATTACTGTGGCTGCGTTTCAGCCTACACATAGGGCAACTATGATTACATTATGGTGGCATGGTGCACGTTTACTCTGATGAGTCGAGCTTAAATTGTAGACAATAGTATTTCCAACAGTATGGTATCTGTTAACGTGGAATACTCCTCTTTTATATTGTTAGCTGCTTAAACGATGCCTTTAATCATAATGGTGTGCAATGTTCCAATATTATATATGTTATATATATATATATACATTTGTTGGTTGTGCCTAGCAGGTGGTTGACATGCATATTGGGTTGACTAATCTTTCCATATGATCACTGTTGAGATTATTTTGTAATGAGTATGTACACGATGGCTTCTAATTCACAGACACATTACCTTGTCAATGTTGTTCGCTCACCATCACTCCAGCAAATCAGCGATTGTAAGTGGGCCCTGCAACTGCCTGAAAAACACTTGAATAGCTACATACAACTGGCACTGAATTGCCATTAGTTTGCGCGCAGGTGTCACATAACACGGGAGCAGATGGTGACCTCTGTCGGGGGGGGGGGGGGGGTCACCCATCTGAGTGAGCCGCACTCCGCTCATTGTTATCAATTAACTCCATCACATGCTCTTGGGCCTGAGAGGATCTGACAAAGCGTTTGTAGTTAACCGGTCGATGTAAGTGATCAGGGTAGCGCTGGTCGTGAGGGGGAGGGGAGGGGTTGGAGGGCAAGGCCTCTCAAAAATGTTAACGTGTCCCAAAGCGTTTAGCGCAGGAATATTATAAATTGGCTGCCTTGCCAAAGTTTGGTGTTAATTCGATTTGCTCTCCCAGAGGGTCCACACCACAGACCTCGTGACCCTAAACATGTGAGCCGCAGCACGGATATGTCTGGAAGCCGAGAAATTTTCCCGCTTGTTTAAGCTCTCTTGATGTCCATTGACACTCATCGCCACAGCCACACTAATAAAGGATGTGTCTACGGTTGGGCTTACCTGTCAGTAAAACCTGTGCCCACAGGCTTTGCGGTGACCAAGGGTGGGTTTAATGATGCATAGCCATGGGTATACCTATGGGCAGTGTAACGAACGGTTTCAGTGTATAATGTCCCTAATGCAGCTACTGGTGCAATGGTTAGCACACTGTAAATCTGATGACCTTTCGAGTTCAATCTCCGGCCAAGGCCAACATCACTGGAGACAACCCCCACGTTTAACCCCTCATGGGGTGAGGCCTATATTTCGCAGTAGAATGACAAAGGGAGCTGTAAATCATTAATTATTGCAGTAACACACAGACTATTCCGGAGGAGTGTTTTCAGTGAGTATCTCCAAAGATGACTCAGAGTAGTGTTCGAACACCACTAGCTTTCCTCACCATGCATAAATGTGCATACACGTATGCACACACAATAATGAAGATTCTCCATCTAGCCTCACAGACAGTTGGGACATTTGCTTTTAGCGGCTGGTCTGGCACAAGAGGAGGCAGTGTGCCCAGCATCCATTATTCCTCATTACTAACAAACACCATGAGTGGCTTACAATCTTTTCTCCCCGAGGTTAACTCAGCCTTAAATGTGTGCTTGGTTTTGGCCGCATTACCCTCTCGTATGATGTCAAAATTCAGAGCATCTCCATGCTGAAACGGCCATTGCTGGCGCTCACTTCAGTTGGGGACCTCAAGCCAATGGTGGGAATGCTACGCCAATCTTAGTTTGTGCTCGCCTATGAGAAATCTCTGTGTTTGTATGTCTTCATGCACAATTGTATGTGTTTATAAAAATATATATATATAGACGTGCATGTGTGAAAACACAAAGGCTGTGCAGGCTGCACAATCGGTTGCGACCAGGATGCTGCGGAGAGAGTCCATGGCTTTTTTGTTCATTTTCGATGGCAGGCGGAGAGCTTGGACGGTGATTATGGCTCGGACTCCGACACAGGGCTCCCACGGAAGAAGCTGAAGAAGGCTGAGAGCGGCAACTTCTCGTGTGACTTGTGCGACAAAACATTCCAGAAGAGCAGCTCCCTTCTGAGACACAAGTACGAGCACACAGGTAAACGCTCCCGCTCGGCACACTCACTTCGATCTGCAACTCGCGCACGTCCGCTAGGGCTGGCACCCGTCCGCGCTGTGTGGTTTTTGTTTTGTGATCTTTATAGTACCGCGTGAGCGGCAAGCAATTTGAAGGTAGCCAGTTCAAATCCTGGTTGGGGGTTGACTCATCGTCACTGTGGGGTCGTTAAATTGAGTATCGATTTACGAGGAAGGTAACGGTGGTTGTCGTTTCCTTAAGACTGACCCCGCCATATGAATGTAGAATGTCCACCACTGGTTCAGCCTGGCAAACAGGAGATGAGCACGGGCTGAATGCTCATTTGAACAAGAATGCACTCTGACTATTAATTATTATTTGTTCTATACTCGTCGAAATGGACTACAGAAAATGCTGCAGGAACTTTAACAAAGAGGGCCGGAAAGTTAAATTCAAGATTTTTTATTTATTTTATTTTATTTTTTACCTACGTGACTTTACCGAAGAAACCAAAGAGTATGCATATCATATTGACTCTTAAGGAAAACAGTTGGGCTGGGGTAGCATGCATCGTGAGAATGGTTGATGGTTAATGGACGAGATTTGTAATGGAATGGCAGCCGAAGCAGGCAACAGTCCTGACAGCATGACCACCATGGAGATGGAATGATGAGTCCAGTCCTTGTGCAGGAGCAAGATGGATCACGTGGCATCACAGGGCTATTTGGGTTGGTGATGGCATAGGAAGGACTTCATTCAGCAGTGGATAGAACATGGCTGATTGTAAATGTCATGCAGGCTTCAAGAGGAAAACACGCAAACACGAAATGTAATGTGTGCCATTTGAGAACATTTACATGCAAGCTAGCAGAATAAAGAGAGCTAATATTAAATAAAACTTTTCAGTTGAACCAGTATCTCCATGTGCACCAGTCCACTGGCCCATCCAACCCTCATTTCTCTCAATCGTTCCAATGTGGCCATGTGAGTTTCACTGCACTGTCAGAAGCAACAAACCACCATTGAAAACACTATAAATGTGAACAATATCATCATCAGCCATGTTCAATCCACTACTTAATGAAGGCCTCCACAATCTGCCCCCCCCCCCCCCCATCTCGCTTGACCCTGTGATGTGCTCATGACTTTAACAATACGTTGTAGTATAATGTAAATATGAAGCTTAATTATAATGGCAATTCACTCCATTACTGACGTTACTGCCGATGGCAACAGAGTGAAGGGCGTGTGGGACCTTGGAGAGGGGCTCAACTGTGACACTTCCCACAGTCTAGGGATAACATTATTTATGAAAAAATATGGAGATAAAAGCGTACAACAAGGCAGACACGTGTCTCGGGGTGCTAAGACCGTGCCAGAGCACTGAGTCAGCGCTGCTGAGATCCTGAGTACATAACCGTGTAACAATTTATGATTAAATCAGTATCCAAAGTATCGTGAGCTGATGGTCTCGGCCTAGTTACCGATGACAAAACAAAGAAACTCATTGCATTACATTTAATTTTTCACTTAATTCAGCGTATTCCCGTCCGACAATAGACCAAAATGGTTTGATTGACATATTTAACCAACACTTTTTTTCAAACATAAAAGGTGTATTCTAACAGTGTATAATGATGCCTATTAATGAGAATTCAGAGGTAGTTTTGGAATATCATCTTACAGGGCCATTCTCTGACAGATGGTGGTGCAATGCTCACTGAAATAAAGTTACAAATGGAAATTTCTTATGACACCGGGCCGATAGGAAAATTGGAAAATGATTTGGCATTTTTTCAAACGATGGGAATGTAAAACAAATACAATGTTAATTGAAGTTCACAATAAATTCAATGTGTGCGCGACATGTGCAGTGAAACCTTCACGTCGTCGAGTGACTGAGCGATCCAGCTTCTGTGATGTACTTGCTGCTGTAGTATGGCCATAGATAGCAGAGGACAGTGCACAACCAGCGTGCTTGTGGGTGAGACCGAGTGAATCACCGGGTGATGTGAATAGAGTAGAGGTCGCCATAGGATATCTACGTGCCAAGATTAGTGGCTGGAGGACCAAGGGGGGGCTAATGCCCGTATCAGAGCACTGAGTCAACACTGCTGAGAGCTTGACTTTGAGCCCCCTGTTGCCACCCAAGGTGAAGTGTAGAGAATTTCATGGTCTCCACTGATTCTCATAAAAGCACAAAATACATGTGGCTCTGTGTGGTATCTCTGTCTGTCGCAACACTCGGTCAGTACTGCTGAATTCCAATCCCAGGCTGTTACTGGACATCAAAATGGGCTGTAAAACAAGGACAAGAGATCATTATCGGCAATGCCACTGATGCCACCACACCTAGCCATAGTTGTCTTCCTTCTGCTAGATTCCTCGTTTGTTACACAGCCGACACGTGACCTTAACGCTATACTCGAACAGTATCCCAATGATCCAATTGCAGCATTGTGCAAAGGCACGTTGCTGACACTCACAGTTGTAAATATATAATTTTTTGATAAAAAAAAAAACGTATAACTATTTCATACACATCAAGAATGACTCTTGATTTGATTTGTACGTGTGGTGATATAAGCCACTGTATGACGCATATATATTCCGTGACATCATCTTCTGGAGTAATGTCCCTAGATAGGTTTACTCTGACATGGTCCCTGTTTTTAGATGCAAGCTTTAATTACGACAGCATGAACACGAGGTACATAGTTAAGGGTTGGCACAGTCATAAGCTCTGTGCACTATGAACCCGGCCACCGAAGTTCGATTCCTCGCCACAGCTATATAGCATCAGTAGTGAGTGATACCTGAACCGGACCTAGGCTTCACATTTTTCACCAACTCACACTGCCCAGCATCGTCAAGCGTGATCAAACAACCCCCACGACTGACATAGGGGAGAGGCTTTCATCCAGCAATAGATTGACAAATTACTGTACATGATTGCTACTTATTTTAGAAAAGTTTTTGTTTTTTAATAGAAGAGAAATGGTACATTCCATGATGACTATGCTTACACCTATTGAGCCTTGTGAGCTATGCAGTGGCTCGTTCATGGGTGGGGTGTTTTGGGCACACCAAGTCACGTCTTACATAAGTATTGCCCTTCTCTGTCTAGGGAAGTGTGCAAGGCAAGGAGGCTTACACAACGTGGGGCATAGCACCGCGCCAAATCTTCGTGCACTGTGCTGTATTATAATTAGCATTATCAGGAGCAAGTCAAGCCACGGTCTTTTTGCCCAAACAAGCAAGGCAGTCACGTTTTCTCCCATGGCGATGGGCGGTATCTCTCTCTCTCTATAGGACAACCACAGATGACTTCCCTCAAAGTTGTACTCACCCCCCCCCCCATGCCCCCCACCGCCCCCCGCCCCCCGCCATGGCATTGGAACATGGTGAATGCGAGTGGCACACAGCAGTGCTCTTCCTCGGTGGGTCCCTCCACTCCCCTGCGAATGGGACTTTTGGTCTCCTTCATTGACACCAGTGTATTTTAAGGTGCCGTAAAATGCCCACAGCCGTGCATTTTGCTCCCGCGTGTTTACGTGTCCACGTAGGGTGTGTGTGTGTGTGTGCTGGGCATTTTTTTTTTGCAAGGCCGTCCCCTTAAGTGCGGGCGCTCACACACTGGTGTTTGCGGGGTTATTTTCGTGCAGGCCACGTTGTCGTAGGCATCGCTGACATGCCTGCCGCGGATATTTTGGGCATCCAAATAACCAACCGAGGCGCCTTTGGGTGGGGTCCTGAAAGGCTTGCAAGAGGCTTGGAATATTCGCGTGTTCGGTAAAATTTACGCACCTCGGCATTAAGTTAGCGGATTATAACGTGGAATTAAGAGCTCCATATTGTCAGACGTGTCTGATTTTACTCCAACAGCAATATGCAAAGGAGCATAAATGAGTTCAGTGCCCGCCTCCATTGTCAGCCCTAAGTGACTGGTGGAAATTACACATTCCTGTGGCAAGGACCAGTTCTGTTGACGTGTTATTCGCAATTAACATCTCTCAAAAGGGGATCTCAATTTAATTACCCCCAGAGATATGATGGGCTAAATCAACCCCTGACCGGAGTTTGAACTCAGGAACCCTCCCATTGTGTTTCAGGCACCCTGCCATTGCACCACCAGGCCAATGCCTAAAAGTGAGCTTTCAAATCATTAGCAGTGACCGATGATAGTGGCAACCAAAATGGAGATGTTTGGTCAACTTGTTTCCCTCTACCTTCCCATTAGCGGCTCAACAGGCTCCCTCATTATTCTTGCACGTAAATATCAAGACACAATCTGATCCTGTCGCATCTGAATTAGTGGCCTGGGAGGATCCGTCATTGGCCCACTATTGCATCAGACGGGTAAGTGTATTCCAATTTGGCATGAGCGAGGGAAGGGCAGAATGTTTATTAAAAGGAACAACTACGCAGGCATATTTTTGCGCCAATGTTAAAGGCCCCAGACAGCCTAGACTGAGCAACGTACGGACGCAAAAATGCAGATGTCAATGGACCTCTTTGTCTGTGCTGCTAATAAGGGTTCTGAAACATAACCTTCCACCATGACATGACCATAATGGTGACCTTCATGCACAAATTTCTGCATGTTTTTCTTTTTCGAACCAATCTTGAGGTAAAACTTTTCCACAATTGTTTCATTTTCATGCACACTCACACACACACCAGCTGACATGCAGTCTTGTTTAATTATCCAAGTTAAGTCAAAGAGAAAGTGTTTCCTGACTCAAACAGGAAATGGGATAGTGCGTGTCTTCACTATAAGCCCTGAGGTAGTGATATATAAATTCCATATTCCCATGACCGGAAATAGTATATCCATAACATGACCACTGTTGGCGTCACAAAGTGGTACTAATTTTATCGACCTCAGAGAGCCTGACATGACCACAAACAGGAAATTGGACTCATAGCTTTTCTATTGAGAATCAAATGTCATTTCCAAAGTGCCACCCAGTAGGAATGTATTACCAATCGTTACACAATGCATTCGCAAGAAGTTCTAAATGCTATTATTTTGCCCAGCTTGTTCCAAGCAGGTTATTTTGTTTGTTTACTCATGCGGAATTATTCGCATCCAAGGAAACTCACTTGATAACAGCACTGAAATTAAAGACAATGCACAGGCGGAAAAGAATGGTACAAATCGCTTTTTTATGATAAACGTGAAAATATAACACCTCTAGTGTCTTGTGGCGTGCGATACTTCTCATACGTAGTCCACAAATTAAAGATCCTTTAGATGAGGCGTTTATCAACCCCTGATTGTGGGCCCAAATTCGTATGTGAGTGAAAATCATCTCTAGCAATATTGTATGTAAAACGATAAACTATCATATTTTTTAACTGCCAAGTAAATATAAAACGCCCTTTCACCAAAGCATGAATTAAATTACAGTTCATGCTTGAGGCTGAACCATGTTGTCCGTCGATGCTAAAGTTCCACACATCGGAAGTGGGAAATGGTTCTGGATGCCACACTGGATATCATATTGGATTTGTAGTTTTAATATGTCTTTATATGCACTACGATCTATATGTGTCAGTAAACATGGGTAATGAAAAACTAATTAGTATGTGTGTAGATATTTCACTTCGGGCATTCTTGGAGTAGTTATGTTCTGACATTGATACAGTCGTCCTCTTGTGAACGTTTTTAATCCGTTCCACGAAAACTACTGTGAACCGAAATAACTGTTAATGGAAGAGAGAGCTGTTTCGACTGCCAAAACAGAAAACGCCATGCAAAACAAATCCGGTCGAGGTCTAAACGCTAATAAATGGGCGTCGCTAATTGGCCGAGGCATGCTCAGCCCACTTACGAGTGCTTGGATTGGCCGAAATTGGGGCCCGAGTCCTCTAGGAGGCGAAACGTTAACCGAAAGTCCATTAACCGATATCACTGTTAACCAAGGGACCACTGTATTGCCAATATCGTATTTTTTTATGATTGTATCTTTCTTGCCGAATATTGAAGCATTTTAAATAGAGGCCAGATCCCTTTAAATATGTTTATTGCAAGTGATGAAGTCAAATATGTATGCACACTCTCACTTATGTAATTTTAATTCAAAACAGCAGCTTCATTTATGTTTTTTACGCTATAATGTATCTTAGACATACATTGCTACTGATGGCATTGTCATACTGAATATTTGCATTATTCCACAAAAATTATATGAACCATAACACCTCTGATCTCACGTACAGTATATTTACATGTTGAGTGGGATATTGCATGTTACACGTCATGTGGTATATTGCATGCAGTGTGAGAACTATGGTGTCATCCAAATTGCTGCCCTATTTTTTGCTAAACATGGAGAAATGGCAGCAGAGGAGGCTGTAGGTCGGCTAGCAGTGGCACGTGTGCAAAGTAGCAGAGAGCACAGGTAGCCTCGCTCAGCGCCTCCTGCCGTGATTGTCAATGGGCCTTTTGCTTCTTCACAATCGCCACAGGGCCAGCACTCTTGAGATGTCGAGAAAACCGGTGTAAAGAATGCGATTGCAGAAGCGATGCGTCTGTAGCCATTTGGTCAGCCATGTGCGCCTTTCCGCTGCTGTCCGATAAGAATTTAGTGAAGGCCTCCCCCATATAAAAGTGCACGCTCCTGCTCGCAGTCCCCACCTCGGTGGGGCAGTGAGCCCAATTTCTCCCCTTCCCGTAAACACAGGAGCATAGAATTGTGGGGCTTCTATCCATGGAGTTGATGTGCCCCCCCCCCCATCCCCACGTCACGGTTTGTGTTCCGTACCGGGTTCATGTTGAAATACCATAAGAACAGTTTAACACGTATTCTTTTGCGACCAATATCATCCATAACACAGGTTTTTTGGGTTAGATCACGTAAATAGATCGCGTATTTGACACGATCTAACCCAAAAAAAACCTGTATTATGGCCCATAAGAACAATAAAATAGAAAATAATGTAGTGAAGGCAAGTTACAAAAAAATGGTCAGATGCTCCGATGCACAAATAAGCCACGGTAATTAGTGGCATTACTTTTGGGGCTGACACTGCTTGCTGTTAGAAATGTCGTGCAAAGAGTTGGCATTTCATTCATATAACGTTGTTTCAGTATTATAATTCGAATATTTTGCTCCATTTGTGTCCCCACTCCCTGCCACCCTGGCCAGGCAAGCGTCCCCACCAGTGTGAGGTCTGCAACAAGGCATTCAAGCACAAGCACCACCTGATCGAACACTCGCGCCTGCACTCGGGGGAGAAGCCGTACCGCTGCGACCGCTGTGGCAAGCGCTTCTCGCACTCGGGCTCCTACTCGCAGCACATGAACCACCGCTACTCGTACTGCCGGCGCGGGGTGGGCGAAGGTGAGGTGGGAGGGCCGGGAGACGTGACGGGAGAGCGGGCCACCCCACCGGACGAGGCCGACCCCGAGGTGGAGAAATTCGGCGGCGGAGACAACTCGGCGATTCGTGGAAAGCTGGCTATGGAGCAAAGGATGTTGGGAAACTTGGAAAAAGACAGGAAGGGTGAAGACCATCGAGCGATGATGGAACCGTTCGGCATGAAGCATCAGCTGCTGATAAAGTTTGATGGAGAGCAAAGAATGTTTGAAAGGAAGGAGGAGCAGGAGCAAGGAATGCTGGGAGAAATGGACCGAGAGCGAGATGCATTGACAAGCAGCAGTGACCAGGAAAACATGGGCGTAGGAGACATGAAAAATGAGTTTGGTATGTTGGGAATTCCGATGGTGAGTGGAGGAGTTTTTAGATATGGCTTTGCATCGCAGCACTGTTATGGCATTAAAGAAAGAAATGGAGAATGTGTTACTGATGGACTTGGGGAAGAAGACGAACAGAAGATGAAAGTAGAGGAGAATGATGGCGATGATGATGAAGTTAACGATGAAAATGGTGACGAGAATGGAACGGAGATGGAAAGAGATGCAGGTGACCCTGAAGGAAGTTGGTCAATGGATGTAGATAATGGTGAGAGCAAAAGTTGTGACATGGACAGAGACGAAGCCGTAGAAGATGCGAGAGATGAACTGGAAAGTGTAGCAGATGGTGATGAAGACGTGAATCTGGGAAGTGACAAGGAGAAGGCTGCTGAGGGCATAGAATGCAAAATGGGAGCAGGAGAAGACGGAGAAGGTGAAGAGAGGTACGTGTTCGCTGGAGAGCCGAAGAGAAGCAAGGTTGGGAAGAGAAAACGGTCTGCGGGTGAGAATGGCGCTGAAGGAAAAGGCGATTTAGAGAAAGGTGATAAGTAATTCTGTAGATCAGCCGTGATGAATAACAGTATTATTATGGGCCTCTATTGCACCGAGCCTATTGAGACGTGCCTGAACTTTCTGGTATTGTTTAGAAACATGACAGGATGGTTTAAGAAAAATGAAACAACGTAAAAAAATGTGAAGTTTACACAATCAGTGTTAAATGATCTAACCAAACATTTTCATCGGATGTCATGCCAAAGGCATTTAGTCGGCCAATTCCTAACAGGAACGGGATGAAATTTAAATGTAAAAATACAATTCTCTTTTGGAAAAAATTAGAACTAGATATTTGAACTACTTTCATAATCCATGCATGATTTATTTTTAATTCAGTGGTTAGGATTATACTGTTGTACTACAAAATAAATAAGTGTAATCTTACAATGGGCACAATGCAACATTGACCATGTTTTGATTATAAAATCCCGATGAACTTGTTCTGGTTATTTAGAGCCCTGGGATGGGTGGGAGGAAGGGGGGAAGGGGGAGGGGGGAAGGGGGAAGAGAAGGGGGAGGGGGGAAGGGGGAAGGGAAGGGGGAGGGGGGAGTGGGAAGGGTGATGGGGGGGTAGACGGACATCGAAGGGGCAATGACAAGTTTGAAAGTAAACTTGGTAGGTTCTGCGAATGTAAAAGACAAACTACAAAAGGGTATTACCAGGTCAGAATGCATGAGCCTAAGAGCACATTCTCTCGATAAGGTGAAATGTATACTGTGTGCGGCTTATGAAAAGTGATCCATGGAAATCATTTTACGACTTTTGAAATTCCAAAATTAATCTGTTGTCAATATATATATTGACTCCCTAAGAGCACATTAAAATATTATTGGTGTTGAATGCATTTTCATAATATGGACATCTTTTGTTTTTTATAAACGCCTACAGTGTACTGTATCGAAGAAGGGTCTATACATTAACTAATATGGTAGCAAATTATAAGCATCATTCCTATGCCTTCATGCAGACAGTGTTGTATTCAATGCCATGTGTCTTTTAATTAACCAAATTGACCATACCTGCCAATGCACGATTGGCATTGCACTTTAAGTTTGGCATATGTTTTATGTCGCCGAATAACCGTAGATTTGGACCAGGTTAGTTGGTGTATAAACCCTCACTGAGGATCGTGACACACTCGATATGAGAAGCCTTATGCAAGCAAACAAAGGTGCGAGTCACTATTGCGCGGACGGAGCGCTCTCCAAGTATTACTTATATAGAGGAAGAAAAAAAAACCGTGGCTTTTTCCTGCTTTTCAGCGCATCAGTAATTCAGTATTATTATTACCAGTTACAAGGTTTTCATCCGCACTGGTCAGTATTAGCGATATAACCGTGATAGATCATTTTAGTCAATAACGCGTAGAGTTTACCCTTGTGCAATTTCCTAGAGCCGAAGCAGTGTTATATGCTCACCCCGCCGGTTGCATTTGCCAATACACATCCCCATAGGTAGTTAGAGCGTTTACAAGAGAAAACAAATATTTATACAGCCCGCTAGTTTCGGACAAAAGCATCTTTTATTGTTATTTATTATTGCATACTGTAGTGTTTACAGTAACAGTAAAAAAAACAAAGTTTTACAAAAAGTATATTTTAGTAAAAAATCGTGAACTTCCGGAAGAGTTCAAGAATTGGAAAATCCGACGCGTTCTTATAATTGTTATATTTTTAATTTTGTTCCATACTTCACGTCTCAAACTTCCTGTTCTTTCCTAATTTAATTTAATTTTAATTTTTTGTCCCAAAAATAAAACCAGAAACCATGTACACTTTTGATGAATCAAGAAAAAAACATTTTGATATGACCGTACGACTTTTGAGAAAACTATTTTTTAAAAATGAAACGATAAAATACTTACACTTTCCATGTTTGTTTTTTTTGCTAAAACCTTACAAAGGAAATTATTGCTGATGTCTTTACAGTGTGTTTGAAAAAAATCTTAATTTTTACAAGTGTAAACTTAAATTCTATATAAAAAAGTGACTAAACTATGAGAATCAAGTAAGTTGTTTGGTGCAGCTCGCAATGCTGTGTAAGGAACAAAAATAAACTCTTAGCATCATCATATAGCAACCTGCCGTATCATAGACGATTCCTCACAATTATTCAAGTGTTTGTTCTCCACCTATAGTACAGATATATGCGCGTTTACTATTGCCTGTTTATTTTTTTTTCTAATGACGAACAATAATAATAAAGCATTGTCAGATCAACCGATCATGATAACCAAACTATTTATTAACGTTTCTTATTTATTTATTGCAACTAATTCTTCCCCACTTTTGTATTCTTTATTTTGTTTCTCTTCTTTTGATCATTTCTCAATAAACTGCGATTGGCATTTCCCTACGAGGCGCGTCACGTCTGCTTCACTGCCTGCGCCCACTCGTCCGTGTGCAATGATTCCGCGTGTACACCACCACACCAGCACCGCCACCGGATATCGAACATGAACGCAGTCACACGGACACACTGAATGGTATTGAACAACGAGGTCAGATCTGACAACGAGTTAGCCAAACGAAGACGTGATCGATATTGCCAAGTAAAAAAAAAAGCCACAATTGGATATGTTCATACTCTTTGGTTCTTTCGGTAAAGTCACGTAGATGAAAAATAATAATAAAATGAAAATAACTAAATTGAATCACGACGTTTCGGAGGCAACACAAGCTTCCGACATTGCCTCCGAAACGTCGTGATTTAATGTAGTTATTTTAATTTTATTTTTATTTTTCATCTACGTGACTTTACCGAAAGAAGCAAAGAGTATGGATCCTTGCAGTAACGAAAACTTCAAATCTAGAATGGATATGTTTAATTTAGTAATATCATTCGCGGTCATGTTCATAATAATAATAATGTTCAGCCCTTTGTAAAACCACTGCTGGATGAAGGCCTTCCCACCTTGGATAATGTTTGATAATTCATCACCATGCTCGTCAACGTTAGCAGGGGCATGGGAGCATGATAGGTTCATATCTCACTTACCACCGATGTTAGCTGTGACTGTTGAATCGATCTTGGGTCACAGTGCGATAACCACTGCACTTCTGTTTCCATCCTTTTAATGTGAGTGAAGTGCTCACATACTATTCACTGCCCTGTTCAGCCCTCATGAAACCCTACACTTGTGCAATGTAGTGATGGATGGGTATTGGGTCGGTCGCTTAGTTGTCAGCACCATCACCATAGAGCCGGTGTTTTTGTTATCCTCTATTTGCTTGGATATTTCTTTGGGGAATTTCCAAGGCGTGCACCCATAAGGCTGATGTTAAACATCAAATCGCATTATTTGCAAGAATGAGCGATTAAGTTCCAGTGTCCTAGTATTAATCCAACATTTAAACAGACTGTAACTGCACTAACTGACCATAATTTCCCAGGTCCCCTTTGAAAAAGACATAATTAATCCCAGTGGATTCTCACCTTGTTAAACAAAGTCAATATATTCATAACGACAGTAATTATTTAATAGTCATAATACTTTAATAGTTTTGTAAGTAACTGGGAGCATGCTTTATTCACTTTTTTTTAATCAGCTTTAGCAAAACATTCCCTGGGAGGCAAAGTGTTCGGTTCACTAATGATGAGATGCATATATGTTTAAGAGGTTCACACGAGTCATAAGTCATTTAGAACTAGAAACCGGTTGTGCCAAATATTTTATTTGGGGCATCAAACTCATAACGTTGGTGTTTGGATAGTTTTAGTTATGAACGTATATTTTGTGCCGAAAATATGATTTCTCGTTCTTTCAGAACATCCTTCGAATTGAAATTAGTCACTCGATCAAGGCCGTACATGTATTGCATTTTGTTAATACTATATTGGAAATGTTACTAAAACAATGGTACATAGAGACGTATTAAGAAAGGCTATGTTTTATAGGTCCATGGGTGCATACTTCCTCAAGCTCAAAGTCCTCCAACGGCATTTTGCAGCAACGTATCAATTGTGTACGAGTTTAAGCCTCTTCTCGTGTCATCAAGTGGAAGTCACGTGTGGGCTTATGCTTATAACATCAGACTATCCAGGGGTATTCGGTGAATGTATATTTGTAATGCTTGACATTATAAAACTAAAATTATGATACTTTACTGCTCTTTATTAATCCACTGCGAGATGAAGGAACATACTTCAAGCTGGTTCAGTGTGGGTTGGTTAAGGAAGGACCCAGGGCCAGTTCAGGTGCCACTCACTACTGATGTTAGCTGTGGGTGGGTATTAAACCCAGGTGGCCATCACTTCCCCATCCACACTCGGCTTATACCCAGCACATCAGAATCAAGAATCAGAATGTTTATTTAGACTGGAGGAGTTATGAAGCTCTTTTTCACATGTCCAGAATGGTCAGGTGAGCAAGTTACAACAACAACATATGTCAACAACACCAGCATATATGTTCACGAACAATTTTGAAAAGTTGCGTACATCATTTACATCACAGAGACTGGATTCGAGAATTGCTCACTTATGGTATTATGCATAAAGCACATGTGGATAACTGGAGTGACTTGTAATACATCTCATGAAACCAGGAGGCCCAGAAGATATGCTTTCTAATTCACAAGATATTGCCTATGCAGAGATCACAGCATATTCCATGCAGCTTCCCCACAAAGCCGGAGTGGTACATTAATTGCTACTACAAATTAGCGATCAATGACCAAGGAAACCAGGATTTTGGCAGATTTTCTGAATTTATTCTACGACCCCATCAGCCCAATTGCAGGTGGATGCACTCCTTCTCTTCCACTTGTTTTGATGTTAATATGAATGCGAGTGTGTCACATGTGGCAGTTATAAACCTGAGGCCCATTCTCAGATGTCCGGCATATGGGATGATTTATACCGCAGGATTGGTAATAAATCTTGTCACCATTTAACACTCATTATTCCAACACTGTACCGATTCCACATAGCGAGGCTTAATTAACTTAATAACCCATTGCTCTTTGCATTATGATAATGACCTTAAATAATTGCACATCATTCCTTGCACCTGTGGAATTATGTGGCTAATCTTGGCAAGCTGGAAGTCTTCTTCCACCACACGCAATCACTCTGGCACAACACAACTATGAACGCACACATATTATCCCTTCCCTTATAAATAGGTACGGGTGCATGCAAGTGGGATATTCTTTTTACATTTTGACATTATTGATGCTGTATTGTCAGCCAACAGCATTCAGGCATGCCAACATTAAAATGTTAATTACATTTAAAAAACGCACGTTCTCCATGGACGCTGGAAGTAAATTACTTACTTTTCCTCGGGAAAATTAAAGTCCAAGAAAAGGTTATCTTCTCACATCTCTCCAAATGCATGTCCCTCCGTGGTGTCTACAATCCAGTACAATCTGGATTCTGCCAATGGTTGACTACTTTCTTTTTTCTTGAGACTATGGGTCACTCTCACTCTGAGCTCACTTCCATCTTTTTTCTGCATTTGACG